TTTTAATGTTTTAGAAATTACTCCTTAAATATCCCTATAAAAGTCACATCTGATTATGTTTCTCCGTCTGTGACTAGGCCTGACTTTAAGAATTATATGGCAATGCCTGTAAGATTCTCCAGAAATATGAGCAATATTCTGGCTTGAACTAAGTAATAGTTATATCTTCTTTTTTAGCCAAATAAGATAAAAAGTAAGACCTCTAAAATGCTTTTTTTTTTTTCCCCCCTCTCTCTACCCCTACCCTAATAGATGCAGATGAATGCTTATTGTTTGGACAAGAAATCTGCAAAAATGGTTTCTGTTTAAACACTCAGCCTGGTTATGAATGCTACTGTAAGCAGGGGACCTACTATGACCCTGTTAAACTGCAGTGCTTTGGTAAGCTGTAAGAAGCTATAATACAGCATTCTGTAAAAAGATGCAAATGGGGGGACAAAGAAATAATGCTATAGAGTAAAAATTACTGTTTTTAATCTAAATCATGTGTTGAAAAGATCTGTACATGTTTTATGGAGCTGTCTCTTGAATATGATTTAAGAAAATCAAAACCTTCCTTACTGCTACTTGAATGGCTTTCAAAGAGTTAATATCTAACGTGGAATCATAATTCAGGTCACCAGTATTACTGAAGTATGTTTTTGGTCTGTGGAGCCTCCTGTTTCATCATTCATACCATGCAAGTAAAAGTCGTTTTTAAACACTCACCCAGACTTTCATGCTTAAGCAGAAAACCATATACACCCGGCAGAAACACCTAACAAAAGGAAGTTCTTTTAAAACTACCATCATTTTATCTTCAATTTCTGCACATATCCTTTCCATAGATGTTTGCCTTCTTTGTTTAATGTCAACAGCAGCAGTGACAGTGTTGTTTTTTCAGTCTGCACACTTAGATTTTATAGTCAGAATTGTTCTGTTTTGAAATAGTTCATTAAAAGAGATGGCAGTCTCAAATCTGGATGCAATCTATAAAACTTGGTGAATGTATGAGATAGAACTAATTCCCCTATTGTCTTTAGTTATGCTTTTTTGTTTTGTTTTTCCTTTAAGATATGGATGAATGTCAAGACCCCAGCAGTTGTATTGATGGCCAGTGTGTTAATACAGAAGGTTCCTACAGCTGCTTCTGTACTCATCCCATGGTCCTAGACGCCTCAGAGAAAAGATGTATCCGGCCAACTGAATCAAATGGTACATTTGAACCTGAGGTGCAAACCTGTATCTCATTAAATAGCTCAGGATTTTCCTTCTGACTCTGTATGAGCTGGTGAAAAGTAGAAAACTTGATTCCTTGGGTGTTTGAAATAATGACAATGACATGTTAAGGGAAATGATAGAGAGATGCATGGTCATCTCATCAACATAAAGTATATGGAATGCCATGAACATACACACTTTAAAAGCTCATATAAAAGGAATATGGAATGGCTGAGCAGATGGCAGAACTGTTCTACACTTGGGAGTTCATTGTGCTTAAAATCCTCAGAGGCAACTGAAGAAAATCTGGGCATAGTAATTCAGATTGTTTGACTAGAGTTGAGGCCATGACTGAGACCAGATAAAATTGAGTGTAGCATTGGACAATGAAGTGGAGAGCCATCAGGTTCACAGATAGGGCTCCTTGTTCATCAAACAGTGAGATGAGGTCCTATTAAAAGCCAGTATAATCAATCAGTCAGCCATCACGTTCAGCAGGCTGCCCTAGATGGTGAAGCAAATTGAAAGGCTTCTCAGATGAACTGTCACTAGCCTGGAGCTCTGGAAGTTGAAACGGCTGAGAAAGCATGCCTCCAGAAATGCTACACAGAAAGAAATGGTGAGATTTGACAGAGAACGAAATGTGAAAAAGCAAAGATCAGAAGGAGATTAAATCAGCCAGGATTATTAAGTACAGGCAAGATAATGGGGGCATTTTGTATAATGGAGGAAGCTATAAAGAGGAGGATTTAATAGGAACATGATGGGCAGGTTGAATTTCAACTAATGGAACAACACCCAGTTGGAGATGACAGAGATTGGATCCAAGGAAAGATCAGACTGAATTTAGACTTTTACTTGGAAATTACGCTTAGAAATCGAAATGGAAATTTTGAGCTTCTCTGGCTTCCACCGCAGTGTTGATGAAATAGGAATAACAGTGCAATTGTCATGGAACTATGTCTTCCCTTTCAGAACAAATTGAAGAAACTGATGTCTACCAGGACCTGTGCTGGGAACATCTGAGTGATGAGTATGTGTGTAGCCGGCCTCTTGTTGGCAAGCAGACAACCTACACAGAGTGCTGCTGTTTATACGGAGAGGCGTGGGGCATGCAGTGTGCCCTCTGCCCCATGAAGGATTCAGGTGAGGCCTCAGCCAGTTCCTTTTTCAGAGTGTAATTAGAAACAGGTTCTCTGTTTTGGAGCGTGACAGTTACCTTTCACTTCGATATCTCAGATCTTCATTGTTCATATTTTACTTTTATCAGCTATGTGTGTATGTGTATGTGTGAGAGCGAAAGAAGGGAACGAGCAGAATTATGTCAACGTCTGGCTTCTGATATACCTCTAATACAACCCTTGTCATTAATCAAAAGACATACTGCTTTGGGCAAATCTGCTGACAAGGACAGTCTGCTCTTTAAAGTAATTACAGAACAAGGATGTTAGCTGAAAGACTAAGATGTATCTGACCCAAGTCGTGGTATTTTTTTCCCCCATTGCTTCATTTCAACTTGCGAAAGTTGGACAATGAATAAGGAAAAGCCAGAGAAGAACTGATGCCTTTGAATTGTGGTCTTGGTGAAAATACTGAGTGCATCATGGACTACAAAAAACCCCAAACAGATATGTCTTGGAAAAAGTTTAGCCGGAGTGCTCCTTGAGGCAAGCATGGTATAACTTTGTCTCATCCACTTTGAGCATGTTAGCAGAAGGAGCCAATCCTTGGAAAAAGACACTGTGCTTAGGAAAGTAGTTATTGTTCTTGTTAGGTGCCATCGAGTCAAATACAACTCGATAGTGACCCTCTGAACAACATACCTGAACTCTGTTCTCTCCTGTGCCACCTCATAATTTCTGACACCTTGGAGCCCATTCCTGCAGTCACTCTATCAGTCTATCTTGATGGGGGTCTTGCTCTCCTTCACTGACCCTTTACCTTCCCAAGCATGATGTCCTCTTTCAAGGAATGGCCTCTCTTAGCAACATGCTGTACTTATTTGAGATGAAGCTTCACAGGCTGTATTTTTCCTAACACCTATGTTTGTTCTTTTGGCAGTTTCTGGGATATTCAGTACTCTTCTCCAATATTACAACTCAAACCCCTCAATCATTATATCATTCTTACTCATTGTCTAGCCCTCATATGCACAGCAAGTGATTGAAAAGATGATGGCCTAAATTGGACACATCTTAGTCTTCACACTGTCATCTTTTCTCCTCAGTAATTTGGAGAGGTCTTTGACAGTGGATTTGCCCAATATACTACGTCTCTTGATCTCCTAACTGCTAGTACCAAGGGTGTTGATTGTAGATCTATGTATGCTGAAATTGTTGACAATTTCAAACTTTTTTCCGTCTATCATGCTATTATCTGTCGGTCCAGTGGTGAAGATTTCTGTTCTTGACATTGAGATGCAATCCATATTGAAGGTTATAGTTTTTGATCTTTTGCAACCCAGTGTTTGAAGTCTTCACTTTCAGAAAGCAAGATTGTGTCGTCTGCATAATGCAAGTTGTTGATGAGTCTTCCTCAAATCCCAGTACAACATTCTTCTTTTAGAGTATAGCTTCTTGATTGATTCATTCAACATATACATAGACTAGGTATGGAGAATGGATGCAACCCTGATGTACTCTTTCAGGGAAAGACTCTATAAGTTGGCTGGACACAGTGACTCCAATAGTCTTGAGCGTGGTGCAGATTCTAAGGATTGTTCTGGATATGGCAAGGTTTCAGTCAGTTTTTCACAGGGACCCTGTGATTCACGATCAACTCAAGGGCCCCCTGTAAGAACAGCAGGGCCAAACAGGCTGAATACCAACATTACCTACAGCCACTGTATGATGGTAAGAATAACCTCACCTCGGGCGCTTAGTTGCAAATCAGAAGCACTAACATCTGTCTTGTTTGAGTTGTGAGAATAGAGAGTGTGTAAGTAGAGAGGGCACACAAGAAGGGATATCATGACTAGCACTGATGCCTCTGTTGCTGGGGTAAGATGCCGCATGGAGAAGAGATAGAACCCGGAAGGGAGTATATTGCTGCTTGAATCATCTTCTGTCCCTGTTCTAATACCTCAGTGCTTCTTACTGTGTACATGTTGTTTTGGATTTTTTGGTCAGTAATGTGTAGTTATACTGAAAAAAATAAAATCTTTAAGTTTGATACCTGCCCCTTCACCTGTCCTGTCACAGTTGAGCTCCTCTCCTTAAAGTTTCTATTCTTTTTTTCTTTTATTGAAATTGTAATGAAAGGTTACAGTGACTTTGGATTTCCATTTATTCATTGTAACATATTTTCCTCCCTGCCCACCCCTCCCCTTCAGGTCATTTTTCTCTTTGAAAAGGAAAAAAATACTTTCATTATTATACATTCTCCATACCCAGTCCACTTTTACTATTCAGCTCTTATTCTAGACCCCTGTCATGAAAATATCATATATTCCTTTTAAACACTTCTCTCCCTCATCTGTTTCAATGCAGTATACATTATTTATCCCATTTTTCTTAGGTTCGTCCCAACCCCGATGTCAATCCCGTGGCACTATTTGACCTTCTGTGATTGAGATATTTCACTCAGCATAATGTCCCCCAGGGTTATTTATTTTGTATACTATTTCATGAGTTCCTTGTTTTTCAATGCAGCATAGTATTCCATTATATGAATATACCACAACTTCTCTATCCATTTGTTTAAGAGCTTGTTTTTATCATTTTGCCCTTTCCCCTGTATTACTGTTGTAAATTTATGTATGTTACTTGTTTCTGTGTAAATGGACTATTTAAAACTGCTCCATATCTTTGACTTAAGGCTTTATCTTTTCTTTTTTAAGAAAAACAAACAACACTTCACCTCTAAAATTGAGGGTATCGTACAGTCTTACCCACAATGGACACAAGACCTTCTTTCTCCCACATATTAATGTCTGTTAAAAACAGAATACAATTTACCACCTATAACATTTTTAAACTGATAAAGTGTGGTAAATTTTAAATGACTACATAGATTCTGTTTTATAGATGCACCATAATTCCCTTTCAAATACTTCTCCACCAAATGGCATTTGTGTTCTGCCTGACACTGCCCTGTCCAGTGTTGATTTTCCTACTATACACCATGCTGTAATGAACCTCCATGTATGTTATCTTACCTGTAATTAGTGGCCAATCTGCATATGTGGATTGTAGGGATTATCTATGTAAGCAGCTTGCAGGGATCAATAAATATATCATCTGCATAACAGATTGGTTGGTTTATGAAAGCTACACTCTGCAATTGATAAGACATTTTTCTCTATAACCATCCAGCCTCATAGAGGTTTGGGGAGCTTTATTAAGAATGAATTAAGAATTAAGTACGAATTAAGAATTATGAATTAAGAATTAAGTATGAGTCAACATGGAGGCTTGGACTGAAACATTTTAGTAGATTTATAAGTACAGGTGCAGGTGCAGGACTGTAATACTGAGTAAAACTTGCTGAGCTAACAACATTGAAGATTAAAACAAACAGCAGCGAGTAGAACAGAGTAAAGCATCGAGGAATGGTACAAGCAATGCCAGGGAAGGAACCACAGAACCAGCAGAGGACAGAGGCAGTCAAGTTCAGCCTGTGGACAAGACAGGTGAGTTGGCTCTTGGAGCAGAGCTGGGCATCTCTTAGCATGAGATAACCAGTAGAGCAGAGACTTGGGCATAGACTGCTGAATTGGCTGCCTATAAAGTATTTCTTCAGAAACAGTCAGGATGCTGGCATATCCCTAGCATTGGCCCATGATTGTTAAGATGCTGCTTGTGATCTGGGCGAGCAAGCACAGGGCACCAACCCCAGTTTAGACAAATCATAGAGACAGAGATTGAATATGGCCACGTAGCACCTAACTTGACTTGATGAGACACTTGCTTATAGAGATCAGGAGAGATTTGGTCACCGAAATTGGCATTGATAATCTGGAAAGATTACCATTTCCCACTTTTTGACCTAAATAGCTCCCTTTCCTACTGTGGGAAGTGCATTGCTCATAGAGGAGGTTGGGACCAGTTTACTTCACTTCTGTTCCTGTTTGCTTTCTATAAATAATAATGATGTTTTTCAGTTGGCTTTAAAATGTGACCTAATTGGATAGAATAGTAGAGTCCTCATTCTGGCAATTTCATTACTGCAGGTTTAGAATACAAACTGTGTGTATATGCACACAGTTCAATATGCAAAAGTAACTTAAATAGAATATGCCAATACCTTAAGATACCAGGTCAAGAAGTTAGACTTTAAATGTACTATATGTCTTCCCAAAAACATTTTTACAAAGGCGTGGCATCCATTTCCTAAATAACATGTCTCCGGAAACTCTGTGAACCCTGATAAATGTCGATGGTTGTAGAGGGGCTTCAGGCCTTTTGTTCATGGGGTTGTTTATGAGTCGTGCTCAACTGGAAGACAATCAGCAACAACACTTACATTAGCAATTTTTCACAAAATTATTACCATGGAAATATTTTGTGTAAAAAAATTTTGCAGTGGCAAAAAATAGCAAATTTTACAATTACAAAATTTTGTAATTTTTTAAACAAAATTTATTACAGTAGCAATACCTCTGAACAGAGGGGTGGGGGTGGCCAAGGGGTAGGTTACCATAGGGTTGCACTATTTGATGGATGAAAGGAGAAGTGGAAAACAATGTATACAAACTTTGTAAATGTTGTTGTTGTTATGTGCCGTCGAATCACTTGTGACTCATAACGACCCTATGTATGATAGCCCTAAACTCTGCTCTGTCCTGTGCTAATCGCACTGTCTCTGACACACCCATCCCGATTGTCCCAGTCACTGAATCAATCCACCTCATAGAGGGCCTTCCTCTCCTGCGCTGTCCCTCCACTCTACCCAGCATGATGTCCCTCTCCAAGGACTGGTCTCTCCTTGCAACATGTCCAAAGTATGTCAGACGAAGCCCCAGAATCCTTGCCTCCAAGGAACAGCCTGTTTTAACCCTCTCCAGGATGAATCTGTTTTCTTGGTAGTCCATGATACATTCAATACTCTTCTCCAGCACCACAGCTCAAAGGAATCAATTCTCCTTCTAACCAGTATAAAATAAAAATTTTATGTAAAAAAAAATGTATTGCTTCTGAAAACCCACT